GGAGCTCTGTAGCATTTCTGATATTATATGTCGACGATATATTGTTGATTGGAAATGATATAGAATTTCTGGATAGCATAAAGGGATACTTGAATAAAAGTTTTTCAATGAAAGACCTCGGTTAAGCTGCTTACATATTGGGCATCAAGATCTATAGAGATAGATCAAGACGCTTAATTCGACTTTCACAAAGCACATACCTTGATAAAGTTTTGAAAAAGTTCAAAATGGATCAGGCAAAGAAAGGGTTCTTGCCTGTATTACAAGGTGTGAAGTTGAGTCAGACTCAATGCCCGACCACAGCAGAAGATAGAGAGAAAATGAAAGATGTTCCCTATGCTTCAGCCATAGGCTCTATCATGTATGCAATGATGTGTACCAGACCTGACGTATGCTTAGCAATAAGTTTAGCAGGGAGGTACCAAAGTAATCCACGAGTGGATCACTGGACATCGGTCAAGAATATCCTGAATTACCTGAAAAGGACTAAGGATATGTTTCTCGTTTATGGAGGTGACAAAGAGCTAGTCGTAAATGGTTACGTCCATGCAAGCTTTGACACTGATCCGGGCGATTCTAAATCGCAAACCGGATACGTGTTTATATTGAACGGTGGAGCTGTCAGTTGGTGCAGTTCTAAACAAAGCGTCGTGGCGGGATCTACATGCGAAGTGGAGTACATAGCTGCTTCGGAAGCAGCAAATGAAGGAGTCTGGATGAAGGAGTTCATTTCTGATCTAGGTGTCATACCTAGTGCATCGGGGCCAATGAAGATCTTCTGTGACAATACTGGTGCAATTGCTTTGGCAAAGGAATCCAGATTTCACAGGAGGATTCAATTCCATCCGGGACCAAGTCCAGCTGGGAGACATAGAGATTTGCAAGATACATACGGTTCTGAATGTTGCAGACCCGTTGACTAAGCCTCTTCCACGAGCAAAACATGATCAGCACCAAGGCTCCATGGGTGTTAGAATCATTACTGTGTAATCTAGATTATTGACTCTAGTGCAAGTGGGAGACTGAAGTAAATATGCCCTAGAGGCAATAATAAAGTTATTATTTATTTCCTTACATCATGATAAATGTTTATTATTCATGCTAGAATTGTATTAATCGGAAACATGATACATGTGTGAATACATAGACAAACTGAGTGTCACTAGTATGCCTCTACTTGACTAGCTCGTTTATCAAAGATGGTTATGTTTCCTAGCCATGGACAAAAGAGTTGTCATTTGATTAACGGAATCACATCATTAATAGAATGATGTGATTAACGGAATCACATCATTTATAGACTTGACCCATTCCGTTAGCTTAGCACTTGATCGTTTACTATGTTGCTACTGCTTTCTTCATGACTTATACATGTTCCTGTGACTATGAGATTATGCAACTCCCGTTTACTGGAGGAACACTTTGTGTGCCACCAAACGTCACAACGTAACTGGGTGATTATAAAGGTGCTCTACAGGTGTCTCCGAAGGTACTTGTTGGGTTGGCGTATTTCAAGATTAGGATTTGTCACTCTGATTGTCGTAGAGGTATCTCTGGGCCCTCTCGGTAATACACATCACTATAAGCCTTGCAAGCAATGTGACTAATGAGTTAGTTGCGAGATCATATATTACATAATGAGTAAAGAGACTTGACGGTAACGAGATTGAACTAGGTATTGAGATACCGACGATCGAATCTCGGGCAAGTAACATACCGATGACAAAGGGAACAACGTATGTTGTTATGCGGTTTGACCGATAAAGATCTTCGTAGAATATGTGGGAGCCAATATGAGCATCCAGGTTCCGCTATTGGTTATTGACCAGAAACGTGTTTCGGTCATGTCTACATTGTTCTCGAACCCGTAGGGTCCGCATGCTTAAAGTTAGACGACAGTTATATTATGAGTTTATATGTTTTGATGTACCGAAGGTAGTTCCGAGTCCCGGATGTGATCACAGACATAACGAGGAGTCTCGAAATGGTCGAGACATGAAGATTGATATATTGGACGACTATATTCGGACACCGAAATGGTTTCGGGGGTTATCGGATATATACCAGAGTACCGGGGGGTTATCGGACCCCCCCGGAGGTTAATGGGCCTCATGGGCCCAAGTGGTGGAAGAGTAGAGGCGGGCAAGGGGCAGCCGCGTGCCCCTCCCCCCATGTCCGAATTGGACAAGGAGGGGGGCGGCACCCCCCTTCCTTTCCCCCTCTCTCTCCTTCCCTCTCCTTTCCTACTCCAACAAGGAAGGGGGGGAGTCCTACTCCCGGTGGGAGGAGCGCTCCTCCTGGCGCGCCCCTCCTGGCCGGCCGACCCCCTCCCCCTGGCTCCTTTATACATGGGGGCAGGGGGCACCCCATAGAGACAACAATTGATCTCTTGATCTCTTAGCCGTGTGCGGTGCCCCCCTCCAGCATAGTCCTCCTCGATATTATTGTAGCGGTGCTTAGGCGAAGCCCTGCGATGGTAGAACATCAAGATTGTCACCATGCCGTCGTGCTGACGGAACTCTCCCTCGACACTCGGCTGGATCAGAGTTTGAGGGACGTCATCGAGCTGAACGTGTGCTAGAACTCAGGGGTGCCGTAGTTTCGGTGCTTGATCGGTCGGGCCTTGAAGACGTACATCTACATCAACCGCGTTGTTCTAACGCTTCCTCTTTCGGTCTACGAGGGTACGTGGACACACTCTCCCCTCTCGTTGCTATGCATCACCATGATCTTGTGTGTACGTAGGATTTTTTTGAAATTACTATGTTCCCCAACATATGTCATTGTGAGTTCCTGGCATACCAAAGAAGGAGTGCCAAATCCAGAGGTCCTGTGTGGCCACCGCCTCAAGTACCAGACTGCAACTACCTTTGGCGCCTTTGTACATCCCCTGCCAAGCAAATGGACAATTCTTCCATTTCCAATGCATGCAGTCGATGCTTCCAAGCATCCCAGGAAATCCTCTTGTAGCATTCTATGCTAGGATCCGAGCAGTGTCTTCCGCATTAGGTGTTCTAAAATATTGTTGTCCATACATTGCCACCACTGCCCGACAGAACTTGTAGAAACACTCTATGCTGGTGGACTCGGCCATGCGCCCATAGTCGTCCTGTGAGTCACCGGGAGCTCCGTATGCAAGCATGCTCATCGCTGTCGTGCATTTTTGGATGGAGGTGAATCCATGTTTGCCGGTGCAATCCATCTTGCATTTGAAGTAGTTGTCGAACTCCCGGATGGAATTCACAATCCCGAGGAAAAGCTTTCTGCTCATCCGATAACGGCGCCGAAATGTTCTGTCGCCGTGAAGTGGAGCATCGGCGAAGTAGTCGGAGTAGAGCATGCAGTAGCCTTCGAGACGATGTTCGTTCTTTGCTTTCACCCGCCCCGGCGCCGAGCCACCTCGCCACGGCTTTTCATTGCTCGCCAGCAGCTGGGTGAGGGCAGAGAGCACCATGAGATGCTCTTCTTCCTGGACGTCGGCTTCGGCTTCCTCCTCCAGCAGCGCGACGAGCACTTCCTCGTCATCCGAGTCCATCGCCGAGGCAGGCAAATCGCCGAACACCTTGCGCGCGGTGGGCATGTACCCGCCGCTAAACTGCCCCTCCACGGCCGGAAACGGCGGCTGGAAACGCCCAACTGGTCTCGGAGGGGCTGCCGCGGCGAACCTCTGCTACTTTTCCGGCGGGGAATGGCTACCTAGCGTTGAAGGGCGGCGAGGCGGCGCCGGGATATACCTAGTGGCGGCCGAGAGCGCGGGGGGTGGGAGGCGAGTCGGGGATGAAAATCTTGACTTTTCACCTGACGGCGTGGGCCAGCCGCGCTTTTCCCTTGTGCCGGAGACCCCAAGTGACCCCCAGTGCGCCGGGTTCGGCCTGCGGCCGCCGGCAGAAAAAAGGGCCAAACCGGCGCTTTTCGTCGTCCTGGGGGCGCGACTGGGCCGTTTTTTTGGCGCCGGCGCCGAAAAAGTCGCCTGGGGGGCCTGTTGGGGGCGCGGATGGAGATGCTCTGATCGGTTGACCAACTTAGTGGGTAGTTACCGCCGGCGGCTACGGCCTCTGGCGGCGGCGTGCATGCGGGCGGGAAGGGTCCGGAAGTAGCTGTCGATGCAGACACGCCGAGAAAGGCGGGACCTGGACGGCAGGCAGTTCTTGCAGGTCGGAGCACACTTGTCGACCTCGTCCCCGAAGCGGCACGTCGGCGGATTGGACATGGTGTAAGTGTTGGAATTTTGTTAGTAGGCCTTTGGCCCGAAGCCCAACTAAAATTCTGAAATTTTCTTGGCCCATTCATGCACACATGTGAGTGGAGTGAGTGAGACTAAAGTTTAGTCCCACCATGAAACTTGAGTGAGAGTTGCACCTCTTTATAAGGCGAGCTCGTCTACCACTTATATGAGCATGAGAAGAGGAGACCTACACGTGCTCCTCCTCCTCGCTCGCCTCGTCGGCGGGTTGTGGGATTGAGCCGAGCCGAGGGCAGAGCTATGCACGTTGTCTATATTTTTGCTGCTCGAAAAAAAATGAGTCATTAATTAATAAATTAATGGACGTGTTAATTACTGAACAGTTTCTGATTCTTTTGGATCGCGACTCGGACGTGGGGTTTACTCCCACGATCTACCCGGCCTCGGACTCGGACGTGGGGTGCACCGCGAGAAGGGACAGCAGGCTTCCGGAACCCCGCCACTCGTGATCCTGTACGGGAGAGGGGCGATCAGATTTTTGGGGAGCGCACTCGCGCGACTGCTGACGGCGACGACTTTGCCAACGTCGACTTCTTCCCCGACCTCGACAACGTCATCCTCAACTACATGAGCGACAACAACAATGCTGGCGGTGTTGTTCCCACTACACCGTATGTGATTCTATCCTTCTTGTTCGAGATCGTGATTGAATTCATGTTTCTAGTATGTGCCTTAGATGTGATTGTTCATCTATTATGCTAGTTTGCATGATTAGTTTAATCTTTGCTATTACTGTCATGATTTATCTTCTGTTTATTCAGATTAAATCTCGTAGTGATTTGCTCATATTTCCAACAACAAGTAGGCGAGTCGCAGCAATCCCACCGCCGGCATATGACCCGGGGTCGCCTACGTACTGGTGCTGGCAGACAATGCGAGGTGCGTCAGCCATGGACGGCCCGCAGGACTTGCAGGTGGAGGGGCACTCGAAGAGCTCGTCCATGCAGCGGCAGATCGGTGGGATAGACATGGTGCAGAAGGCCTTGTCGCAACACTTCCACGGCCTCTTCTTGGCCGCCGCCATGGCTGCTTCGTCTGCGATGATGAGGGCTGCCTGTAGTGCAAGCATCAGCAGGATGCTAGGAACCATTCATCGCTTCATACCCATGGCGTGCGTACCGAGGTTGCTTGTGCGTTTGAATCTAGCAGCCAACCGTAGTATATATAGCCTCGTGACACCGATGGATGGATGGATGGAAATCGGTACCAATGCAACGAGCAGATTGGACACGCACATACGGTAGCTCTCTATCACATATGCATGGATAAGGAATAGGTTCGAAGGCACATGCAGGCACGAGATGCACGTTTTCGCATTTGACTGCAACATGGGTACGATGACAGTGAACTGCACATGTGTCCACACCTTGCTTGTGGGTTGTGGCGAACCGATCGTTCTAAAGGCCGGCCCATGCATCACAGCGAGGCAAAATTTTATGTTTTGTCCCTTTTGGCAAATAAATTCAGGATCTGACCCTTTTGCCTACCGCCAGGGGCTGTGGCGCTAGGATTGCACGCCCTACCGCCATGGGCCCTGGCGGTAGGTTCCTGGACGGCGACTGGCGGCCGTTTGCCCGTGCTGACGTGGAAAATGACCTACCGCCAGGGCCCATGGTGGTAGGGTACTGAAGCATACCGCCAGCACCCCTGGCGGTAGGGTCCTGGGAGGTGGATAAGGGTGGGAGGGGATGGTTTGTGGGCCCACCATCAATCTTCTTCCCCACTCATCTTCTTCCCCGTGCTAAGCCCCTCTCCCTCCTCTCCCCCCCCTCACAAACCCCCTAGATCCCCTCCATTTGCTTGAGATTTCACCGGTGGATCCGGAGTATTTTCATCACCCAAGGTACCTCTCCCATTTCCCCTCCTTTTGATTGGTTGAGATCTTTGTTTTGTGTGGATTTGGTCAGTTTATTGCAAACCCTAGGTGTTCATCTTGTCGTATGCATTTATGATGCATTTATGATCCATTTATGGCTCATTTATGGCTCATTTATGGCAAGGGTTAGGGTTATATTAGGGGTTAGTGTTCGGGTGAGGGTTAGGGTTATAGTGGTTATGTTAGGGGTTAGTGTTAGGGTGAGGGTTAGGGTTAGGGGTTAGTGTTAGGGTGAGGGTTAGGGTTAGGGGTTAGTGTTGGGGGTTAGGGTTAGGGTTAGGGTTAATGGTTAGGTTAACTTGACTATCAATAGTAGTTATTTGTCTAATTTGTGTATAATTAGGTTTATTTGTCCATTTGAGTTGGTTGGATAACATATATTGATTGATTATATTGTTTCCAATTTTCTTAGATGCATAAACTCGTAAATGTTCATTATTTGGACAAGACGATATTTATGCTTGGAACTGACGATGAAGGGGAGAGGCTTTGGTTTTTGACACAAGTCCAAGCTTTGATGATCTTGTAGTTAAAGTGAGAAGCATCTTACATTGGAATGACCCAAATGCCGAGGTTAAGCTTATCGGGAGGTATGACGTTGGATTGGGAGTAAAGTCCCGATTAAAGAGTATGCCTTATTGAGTACATTCTATGGATGAAGATAGAGTAAAAAATGATTATGTGTATATATTTTGTTTCTGAACAATTAGTTCGAAAAAAATAGTATGCCGTATGTCTTCTTTCAACATAAACTATTTAGTTACATTTTACTTGGAAGTTGAGAAGTCGATAATCATATATAACAAAATTGATGAAAATCCTGGATAGTAAATGTTGGTCAAACGAGATTGTTCCCTCAATTCAGTTTTGTTATCTTGAAGTTTCGAAAAGTTGATTTTACATCCTTTATGTAGATAATTTATATATACTCCATCCATTTCAGTATATAAGTTGTATCGATTTTCATGTAAGTCATTGGAAAAACTTTTCGTGATGGACCTAATTATACAAATTTGATAATTTACATATTGGTAAGTTTTGTTTCTAAAATCTTGATCAAACCTGCACATGTTTAACTTTTACGAAAACTAATACATCTTATATTTTTAAACGGAGGGAGTAATATGCAATTTTGATTGGAATGATATTTAAGATATAACTGCAGTTAGTAACATAACAAATATCAACACAATGCAACACGAAAAGCACATCTCGCTGACAGCTCTATCCATCGCTACACTAACCCAGTCCCAAAACCCTCAAATACATGGCTAGATCGCCCTCAAACCCACCACCATCTTTTATCTTCTTGGAATAGAAAACAATACATTATGGATGACCTAAGGTTTATAATTCCGTAGGCGTCGTCCTCGAATACATGATGTCTACTACACAACCTTCTTCTTGTAGACGTTGTTGGGCCTCCAAGTGCAGAGGTTTGAAGGCCAGTAGCAAATTTCCCTCAAGTGGATGACCTAAGGTTTATCAATCTGTAGGAGGAGTAGGAGGAAGACGGTCTCTCTCAAACAACCCTGCAACCAACTAACAAAGAGACTATTGTGTCCCTAACACACCCAATACAATGGTAAATTGTATAGGTGCACTAGTTCGGCGAAGAGATGGTGATACAAGTGCAATATGGATGGTAGATAAAGGTATTTGTAATCTGAAATTATAAAAACAGCAAGGTAACAAACGATAAAAGTGAGCGTAAATGGTATTGCAATGGTAGGAAACAAGGCCTAAGGTTCATACTTTCACTAGCGCAAATTCTCTCAACACTAATAACATAAGTGGATCGTGTAAATATCCCTCAACATGCAACAAAGATCACTCCAAAGTCACTAATAGCGAAGAACAATCGAAGAGATTATGGTAGGGTACGAAACCACCTCAAAGTTATCCCTTTTGATCTATCTACTCAAGAGTCTGTAGTAAAGTAACATGAAGCTATTCTTTCTGTTCGATCTATCATAGAGTTCATACTAGAATAACACCTTAAGACACAAATCAACCAGAACCCTAATGTCACCTAGATACTCCATTATCACCTCAAGTATCCGTGGGCATGATTATACGGTATGCATCACACAATCTCAGATTCATCTATTCAACCAACACAAAGTACTTCAAAGAGTGCCCCAAAGTTTCTACCGGAGAGTCAAGACAAAAATGTGTGCCAACCCCTATGCATAAGTTCATAAGGTCACTAAACCCGCAAGTTGATCACCAAAACGTACATCAAGTGAATCACGTGAATATCCCATTGTCACCACAGATAAGCACGGCAAGACATACATCAAGTGTTCTCAAATCCTTAAAGACTCAATCCGATAAGATAACTTCAAAGGGAAAACTCAATCCATTACAAGAGAGTAGAGGGGGAGAAACATCATAAGATCCAACTATAATAGCAAAGCTCGCGATACATCAAGATCGTGCCAAATCAAGAACACGAGAGAGAGAGAGAGAGAGAGAGAGAGAGAGATCAAACACATAGCTACTCATACATACCCTCAGCCTCGAGGGTGGACTACTCCCTCCTCGTCATGGAGAGCGCCGGGATGATGAAGATGGCCACCGGTGAGGGATCCCCCCCGGCAGGGTGCTGGAATAGGGTCCCGATTGTTTTTTGGTGGCTACAGAGGCTTGCGGCGGCGGAACTCCAGATCTATTGTCCTCCTCGAAGGTTTTAGGGTATATGGACTTATATAGGCAAAAGAAGTCGGTCAGCGGAGCCACGAGGGGCCCACGAGGGTGGAGGGCACACCCAGGGGGGTGGGCGCGCCCCCTGCCTCGTGGCCTCCTTGAAGCTTCCCTGACTTCAGCTCCACGTCTCCTGGATCACGTTCGTTCCAAAAATCACGCTCCCGAAGGTTTCATTCTGTTTGGACTCCGTTTGATATTCCTTTTCTTCGAAACACTGAAATAGGCAAGAAAACAGTAATATGGGCTGGGCCTCCGGTTAATAGGTTAGTCCCAAAAATAATATAAAAGTGTATAATAAAGCCCATAGACATCCAAAACAGGTAATATAATAGCATGAATGCTTCATAAATTATAGATACGTTGGAGACGTATCACCATCCCCAAGCTTAATTCCTTGAGTAGGTAAATGATAAAAGAAAGAATTTATGAAGTGTGAATGCTAGCAGGTGCACAAGTTTGATCAATGATAATTTTAGTCACCTTTTCTAGCATGATTATATGTCATAACAGTAGTTCATCTCATAAAACTTCTCAAGATCAAGTAACAAGCTATTCACATGTTAAAGCATAGACCATAAAATATCTTGAAAACTAGCAAACTTCATTCTCAATCATCAAACAATTACAATTCATCTTATTTTCAGGGTGGGTCTATGTTAGAGCTTTGATTTAGCAAACTCCACATACTCAACTATCATATAGTCTTCCATGATTGCTACCACTCAAAGCATATTCTTAAAACAAATAGCATCCATCGAACACTGAGAAAGATAGGGGCTTAGTGTTTTGCCTCCCAACTCACTTATCATATAGATAATTGTTAATAATAATAATTCATGATCAAATTATATTTGCATGGCCATATATGCTTAGATCTTTCCCCATCACATGATGCTTTCCAACTAAAGAGTAGGTTGAAATGAGAAGGAATACTAGTGACTCTTGCATAAAAGTAAAGATAGGCCCTTCGCAGAGGGAAGCAGGGATTTGCAGAGGTGCCAGAGCTCGATTTTGAAATAGAGATGAATAATTTTGAGAAGTATGCTTTCATTGTCAACATAACAACCAAGAGTTCCCAATATCTTCCATACTACATACATTATAGGCGGTTCCCTAACAGAATGGTAAGGTTTTTACTCCCCCTCCACCAACAATCATCAATCCATGGCTTGCCCGAAACAACGGGTGCCTCCTACTAACATCAATCCTGGGGGAGTTTTTGTTTGCAATTATTTTTATTTGATTATGATCTTTTGATCATGGGACTGGGCATCCCAGTTACCAGCCATTTTTCTCGTGAATGATGAGCGGAGTCCACTCATCGTGAGAATAACCCACCTAGCATGGAAGATACTGACAGCCCCTAGTCGCTACATGAGTGATTCGGGCAGACAAAACAGATTATTATTTGAAGGTTTAGAGTTTGGCACATGCAAATT